GGCCAAGACGATGTCGGTAATATCATCCTTTTTCAATTGGGCGTTGTCAAGAGCCTTTTTGATTGCCTTCTTTAACCCTTCGAACAATTTGGAGTTTAAATTTTCGAATACTTCTCGAGTGATAGTTATTAAAAATGACCCATTCGAAATGTTATCTGTTGATAGCTCTATCTTCACACGTTCGCAGTCGTCATACAATTTACGCATCGCATTTTTGTCTGTTTTTTTTTTGGCAATCCACTGGCTACCCATTTCTTTTTCGAATTCATTCAAGATGTGGTCGGCTACATTTTTATCGAATTCTTCGCTTCCCAAGTGAGTTTCATGAACAGTTGATTTCTGCTTAAGTTTACCATCTATATCGATCGAAAAAATAGTTATATCAAGACTGGCACCTGACAGAATTCAAAAAACGAAAAAAATGAGAATATCATTGCATAAAACTATTTTCGATCAATTTTTGTTTGACAATCTGTTTTCAATTGAAATTATTTTTTTTTAAATGTTATAATTACCCCAATCACAGACGAAAATATTCGATTCTCTTCGGAAAAACTTTTTGTACGCTCCATAGCAACAGACGAGGGCAGTTGGCTCGTCAATGATACGATGCACAACAAAACCACATTCGGTTACAACATCTTTGATCGCTTGACGTTGCGAATCGTTGAAGTAAGATGGTACTGTGACAATGGCATCATTGACAGTTTTGTCCAAGTAAGCTTCGGTGGTTCTTTTTAATTCGGCCAAAATTATGGATGAGATATCTTCTGGGCTAAATTGATTGGTGAGACCCTTGTATTGAACTTCAATTTTTGGTTTGTTGTCAACATTCTTAACACAGAATGGCCAGTTTTCGGGTTGAACGGTTTCATCGTCGAATTCACAACCGATCAAACGTTTGACGCCAAAAACTGTATTGGTTTGGTTATTACCGGCTTGCTTCTTGGCAGGAATACCAATAAGACGTTCAGTTTCGGTGAAGGCAACGTAGGATGGACTTTCAAAGCATGATTTAGGAGGAGGGCGTCCTTCAAATACAGCCATTCTTGTGAATGCAGCGCCGAAATCAATGCCAGCAACTGGAACAGATATTGTCTAAATTTCACGAAGAAAAGCAATAAGATGGGAAAAACGATAAAAATGATTCGAAGATATAATTGAGATAATACAAAAGATTTTTATCTTACCGCCCCTTCAGATGGTTCCGGTCTCAATTCAGCGAGCTTTGCTTTTACAGTATTCTAAATGATAGAACGAAACAAAGGAATGAAAAACATCTTAAACATCGATATTAACATTGCAAACTAAGTCACACATGTCAATCGAATTACAGATTCCAACCAACACTTAACAAATGCCTTTAACGATTGGAATCAATTCAAATTGAAATCGATGAACACTCCAATAATCCGATAGCTTACCATTATTTCATTGCCATCTTCGGAGCCTGATTCGTCCATTTTTTCATCGCGTATCGTGCAGGTCGAATGGAAAAATTGGATACAATTCTTATTGACAATACTGTAATCACTATTTTTCTGGATGCACTAATTTTATTTGAAGCAATTAACTGAATCAACAATTGATTTTTGTTTGCCACTTGACAATCGACAAATAACTAATATGCTTTTAATGTCATCGGGATTTCTTTGACAGTATGTTGATGTGGTTGCTCATTATTCCGCTACAGCACAAAATATCGCTGCCGGCACAGCAATCACGTGTCATGCGACTTGGTCAAACGTTCCAACGGTGATTAAACAGAAATTCAGTTTCACTGTATATGTCTCTTCCGAACACCTCACCAACTAAATAAACTATGAAACGATAGACATAGTCAGAACAAGCAGCCGTCGGTTCTGACAAAGATCCGCTAAAAATAAACAAATAATAATAATAATATGAAGAAACATTTGAATTATTTAAAAAAAAAATTATTCAACAATCAAAAGAGTATTGTTTTTCATTTCACTTTACGATCGCATCATTTAATCCGAATCGTTTCTGCAAAATTTCAATCGGGACTCAATAGATGTCATTACTAGGCTGACATGCGACATACTACCACAAAATTCAAACTTCAAACTTTGCTGAGAACGCACATTCCAGTATGCCAACAACAAATATGTCAAACAGAGTGGCAAAAAACTGTGAAAGAAATAATTCACTTCGTTCAGTGTGCAGTGTTTAAAGCGCACTGTTCTTTTTGGCCAAACGCAAAATTAGCGAGGCTCTTCTTTCGGTGTATTTGTAGTTGTTCTACTCGTTCTTCAAGTCATTGGTGGGAAAGGATGTCGTCGTTGAGCTCAAAAACGATTTAAGGTATTTTACACCAAGGTGGCACTTGATTATCTTGGCGCATCGCTACCTGTTTATAATGCAAATAATAAACCAGACTATTCCATAAATAATCGATTCAATTTCGTTCTTTTACAGTATATGCGGCACATTGCACTCGGTAGATCAGCATCTGAACATCAAATTGACAGACATCAGTGTTAACGACACAGAAAAATATCCAGATATGTTGTACGTATTGAAAAACTGTTTCATCCGTGGTTCGGTGGTGCGTTATATGCAGTTACCGGGTGAGGAAGTGGACACATAATTGTTGCAAGATGCGGCTCGTAAAGAAGCTGTCACCAGTACACGATAGACATGAACGTTCCAATGAACCAACCATCCCGCAACTGGATATTTAAGTTTTATGGCAAGAGAAAAATACACACGAATTATTCGGAGAAGTGATTCGTTTGTAATGTCTAGACAAATGCTTAATAAATTCGAATAAGGAAAACTGAATGAACAAAAGTTGGTTTTATTGTTATTGTTGTTCGGTAACTTTAGCCCAATTCAATTCTTCGATATGGAATAAAAATTCAGTTTCGTTGGATTTTTTTTTTCTTCCCTTACGTTTTATGCCATTACCAAATCTACAGAATACATATGCGCTTTTTGAGTTGCATTTTTTAAATATTTTTAATTCCTAGTAGTACAATTTTACAGGATTTTCTATCTTTTTTCAATGGTTTTCTTTCTTTTCGTCTGTGTGTTTACTTTTTTAGTTTTGGAATTTGTCTTACATTTATCGCCCTCATCAATTTGTCATTAAGAATTATGACTAGAGTCAATCATACTCAAACATTACAATTTTAGGTATGGTTCGAACCACGACGTTTGACTGTTTGACTCTTCGGTTTGTTCTCAAGTAGTTGATATCATTCCAATTTATTTCTAACATAGGTAGCACATTTGATTTCAATCGTACAGCAAAATTATAGCTAATTGGCAATCGCAACTTGGGATGTGTGCTTCATTGACACCATTAAATGCGTAACACTACCTAAGAAGTAAAAAAAAACACTACATGCATATCATGCATGACCAAATGCTAGCCATTTGATTTCATCTACACACAGTGACATTGTTCCTTTCCAAAATTTCGTTGTAGGACAAATCCAAAAGGCCATATGCGTGCTAATAATCTCGCTTATCAAAATTGTCAAAATTTACTATAAATAGCGAAATTGATTCTATTCACGTATGTGAAAATCGATTATAAGCCGTGTATTTTCCATCGCACAACAGAGTGAGAGATCGGACCCAGTGAAATCAAGTGCGATGGTATAATTTTTGTTGTATAATACAAGTTGTTATCAGGCATAACGGCTAAGCTGTCAAATCAATTCAAAGTGACATAACCTCGAAAAAGAGTACATTGTAACATTGACATTTGACAAGTCGTGTATTTAACAATCAGACTTTATTTAAAGTCAATTCTATCGCACAAAGTTGTTTTAAACTTTTCCGAAAAAAAATAAATTCGTCTAGTTATTTTTGCCCAAATAAATTGAATTTATCGAATAAATTAAGCGCACAAAATGTCACAACAAGCACCAAAAGTGGCTCAAAGCCTTGGCCAAAGGTTTTTCAATAATTTAAAAAGTAAAGAATTCCGAGACTACTTGATGAGGTGAGTACAAACCCGAAATTGCATTATATAAGACTGGTTTTTGAAATTCTAATTATTATTCGGTTGACTTTCTTTTTATGTTCTTGCTTGCCGAAAAAATCACACACACACGATAAATCGTTTTGGTTTTCAGCACGCATTTCTGGGGTCCAGTCGCTAATTGGGGTATTCCGATCGCTGCATTGGCCGATATTCGCAAAGATCCACAAATCATTAGTGGCAAAATGACACTTGGTAATAAAAACATGATATTTATTTAGCAGTTATCTCAGTTGTTGTTTCTGTTTTCATAACCTGTCTTCTCTTTATTACCTGCAGCTCTGACACTGTATTCTGCTGTTTTTATGCGATTCGCCTGGAAAGTACAACCACGTAATATGCTATTATTCGCGTGTCATTTTACAAACTTCTCTGCACAAGGAACTCAAGGATTCAGATTTATAAATTACAATTATTTAACAAACGACAAATCGAAACAATCTCAATAATATTTATCATCAACTCACTGATTTAGATGTTATATTTATTTTGTTACGAGATTTTAAAAAAAATTGTTTCCATTATTATCCGTGCAAATACATATATTCGGTAGGTTCTTCTGTTTCTCTTAATTTTGTCTCTTCCAAAAATTCAATTCAATTTATAGTGACTATTTAAATTCGCGACATAAACAATTGGAATATTTTAACGTTACAAAATATATGGTAAATTTACACTATGATTCAATAAAATTAAGTCGTTCCGTAGAAATTTGTTGTTTCTTTTTTAACTGTTTTTGTTTGAAATAGTAATGGTTCACGATGAAAAAAAAACCGCATTCATTGGCAGAACACCTCTTTATTTCAACTAGTTCAATGTTCACAGATTCACATCTTATTTACAAATAATAATCAGATCATCAGGACGGAAATGTTTACAAATGCTTAAATTATTATTGCTGCAACAATAAACGGTAATTATTTTTCCTCAGATTGTTTAAATATATAGTATCAAAAAATCAATTGATATGGAAATAAATTGTTATTTTGAAAAAAAAAATCCAAATAAAATTGTAAAAATTTCGGAAATATTGTTCTAACATGAGATTCATGAAAGAAAATTCCGTTTCCTCTGTTTCGTTGTTAACGTAAGATTTGTGCTATTTCTTTATAGAAAAAAGTCCATAAAATGTGTAGAAAAAAAGATAGCTGCTGCCTAGCGTCACAATCTTTGTGTGTATCGGTAATGAATTTTTAAATGTTATCCTAATGTCAACGATTTCTCTTAACTACGATTAGATTTACCAATTGGTAATTGGCAAAATATTTGCTGCTAATGAAATATATGCATCTTTTTGTACGAATGACTGTCAAACTACTCACTTATATCTATTATGTCATTTTTTTGTTTGTTTTCTCCTTTCTTGGACGGAATGCTTTATGAACGGTTTTTCATTTTCAGTTTTTTTCTTCTTTGTATGAAATTGTCATTTGATTTTAGATGTGTTTATTTTCGAAAAACTGTTTGGCGATATACGTAGACGTTTACGCTTGACGCTGCGTCCGGAAAAATGATAGCGTATAAAGTATTAAGGCACTGATGAGTACTGTGAAGAGTGTTGCTTGCAAGCCGGCTGCACCAGCCAGCCGACACTTATACAAATCGAAACGGGTCTTTTCATCATTAACAATATTCTCAAATTCGGCTTCGACCAATTGACCATCATAATAGGTGATTAAGTCCTCGAATGGGTATTCATAGCCTTGCAAACATTCACATTTATATCCACCGGTGGTGAAGAGGCGGCCCAGAATTGGAACACACTACAGAAAATTAAGAGAAAAAAGAAATATGCATTTTATTTACAAATCCGATGATTTCGACAAAGTACTTATACTTACGTATGATGTTTTTTTGTCACATTTGTGGGTACCCTTGAATGCATTGGCCACATAGTAATCGTCGTCACATTGATTTATGTCCATTTGAATCATATCAACTGATACAGCAACCACGCCTCTGTTCGAAGCGAAAGAAAAGACAAAAATTACAAACAATCGAAAATCGTTTTTCCATTTCATTTTCTACGTACTTGAATTCCAAATTGACTTTCAGACTATCCCAACCGAAGAATGGAGCTGCGTATGTGATGAGCCATTTTTTGACATAGCCATGACAATCGAAACTGGGTGTTGTCCAGTAGCCAGAATTCAAACCACCGGCTCGATAGAAGTTCGGATAATGCTCGTATTTTTGATTGAATTCACCGGTTTCGTTGTGACGAATCTTAATTTTCATATAATGTTTATCCAGCGAATCGAAATTGGTTGACCAACGTTGCTTCAAGAATCGATACCATGGTTTTTCCGTATAAATTTCATTTGTTTTGTTCAACCGAGCCAAATCTTCGACTTTGAATTTACGAACGTTCAACTCTTGTTTGTAGGCGAATGGCGCAAATAATGTACGATTTGTAAATTTATTTCGTTCCCAATAGACGCCGGCTGCCCAAATTCGAGTATTGCCCATAATCAATGCCAATGTTTCGGCAATCATTTGATCTTCGGTCAATGGCCGATCAGCAACACGTTTGCCTGAATACACTTCATTTGGATCGGAGATTTGCAAAAAGGCACTTATGAAATTGGCCAAACGTAATGCCATTTTAGCTTCATTTTCGAAAAATTCCTTCGCACCATAGCTAACATCGCCGTGAAGCACTAAATCTTGAGGATGGAAATTTCGACACGATGATGGATTCACTGTGTTGATAAAATTGACTGCAGCATCAACATTGACCTTGCTTTGATGCAACGATGCCGCTCCCTTTGTTATATTACGATACTCGTAGTGCATGTCCAAGTATTGTTCACGAATGTGGTACGGAGCACGCTCCCAATCGATTGGCACTTTTTGAACCCCTTTGTATTGGATTTCGAAATATTTGAATCAGTATATTGTTTGCTTATAAAATGAAACATTAACTATATATAGAGTAGGATAGAAATATTTAGCTGCTTACATCCGATTTTTAAGCAATCAAATCCATTGTAGTATTGTTCAGCCGAAGCTCGTTCGACAATCTCACCCAGGAATGGTCGACGCACATGATTCGGTAGACGAAAGCCCGGTTTACATCGACACTGGTATCCACCACGCCGTAGACCCCAACCATGTATCGGTTCACATTCGGTTGTTTCCTTCTTACATCTGGCCGTGTCGGCGAATTTATTCGGTCCGATGTTGCCCGAACCTTTCGGACATTGATTTATGTCAATACGTTCGTAATCCATTTCTAACACTGACACCGCCGTATATCTAAAATGAGTGACGGCGATTATTATCATCAGAATAATTCATTTAATGGTAGCCTATGAATAGGTTTACTTACTTGGGATATTCTATGTGCCGAAACTGTGTATGACGTGGATAAATATCAGCTATAGGAACGACTGCCGCCACCAGCCATTTATTCGATCTGCCACAATCGAAGTAGGGTCGTGTAAACTTCACTGGTCCAGGATTTTCGTCAGCACCGCGCGGCCCATGGAATGTAAACGTTTCATTCGTATTATTCGCATATCGAATTTCCACCTGATACGTAGTTTTTGTGTCATGCCGATTTTCAACATCGTCTGGCAACCACATCCGATACCATTCGTTGATCTTATAGAAATCGGTTGTATAATCTTTTGACAGTGAATCCGATGGAATGGCACCCAAATCTCGGACATCGAACGTGTTCATCGTGGAGATCTTTTGCAAATGAATTGGATCGTTAAAATCGTCCATTCGGAATGTACGCGGAGCGAAACGTGGGAATGTTTTATTGAAGAAACCACGATACGATGACGTATACGAACTGTTTGGGGAGAAATAGATTGCTGATGCGTTGATGAATGGATTGGCCGATACATCAGCTACCGTTGACAAGAAGTAATACATCATTCCGGGATCGTAGGTATCATTGATGGCTGGTCGAATGAAACGACTTTGCAGAATGTAGCTCCAGAAAAACGATCGACTCAATGCCATGTTGTGCAAATGCAACAATGCCGTTCGATTGGGGAACACGGGATTGATGTTGATTTCTTTAATGTCGATCAGGTGCGACACTGAGTCATCAGGTAGATAGAGATCGCCTAAATGCTGGATCTGGCAATTATCCGCTGTTACTTTATCCATTTTAACTCGAATTTCATCGAATGCATCTCGTGGCTGCCATTCATATTGTGCCAAAACGGTTACGCAAAGCAACAGGCCAAATCCGAAATAGCTGCGCCAAATTACCGCCGTCACACCCATGATTCACACACACCAAATTTGTTGTTTTGTGTTCGCGATCAACCGCAATTGTTCCAGCCACACATTCGGGTGGAACTCTAACACTAGCTGCTTTAAAATAAATTCACTGAATCAAACACTAATTCTTAACAACAAAAAAAATTCAATATCATATCTAAAATGCACTAAAACGTTTGGATAGAAAATGAAATATCGAAAACAACACAAAAATTCGATCAACAACGCCCTTCTATAACATGGCAACCATGTTCGTTGATTAACGTTTTGACTTTTGTGTTTGTCTCTGAATATAACAACGCAACAACAAACAGATACACACAGAAAGAGAATGAGTGTATAGACCTAAATATATATATTTATATATACGTACGATATATTCGTTGACACGAACGTGAGTAATATTTATTTTAATAACGCCGAAAAAATACACGCAAACATTTTCTCATTCTTTTCTTTCCGTGTATCGACGTGTCCAATATATGCGTGTATTTATATCATCTATCGTGAACAATTGGAATAGCTTGTGTATGCATACACAAATGCACGGTGTTTATGTATTAACCATTTCACATGTGCATGATATTTAATCGTACAACACACACCGACATTAGTCAGACGCCACAACCATACCTAAAAAACTAGCGAACCGACACGCATAGCGATGGAACGAACAAACAGCCAAGAACAACGACTGTGCCTCTCTCGTAACATCGTTGTTCGCTCTCTGGCATGCATGTGTAAATGTGTGAGCCCGTTAAAGCGAACGAATTTGATAAAGAATAACCGACGCTAATGTATACACTGAATTCGAATGGTGTGCTTCTGATTTAAAAGATTTCGAAACAAAATAGAATATAACGACGGCACCGGTTTGGATGTGTTTGTTTGGGTTTACTAAAGTATACATTCGAATGCACGTTTGACCAACACTAAGTAATTGACATCAAACGTCGATTGCATTTCGGTTGTTTGAAACCTGTGTGCGTCTATGACATTTTCAACTGTTAGCAAATGATTTTACAGCTCTTTTATAGATCATAATAATCGGAAAAGGTCTAAACCGTACGATTTTCTCTCTACCTGCACATATTGACTTATTGAACACACAATAGGCAACAAGTGGCTGCCTTAACTACCATTTGGGTAGCGTCAAACATTTCACAATTCATTATGCTACGCATTAGCAACGGAATGCTGATTATCGTTGAAGTTCATGTATTCCGGATTCTATTGTCTGATCAATATCATCGCAGATTTGGACTAATGCAACTATAACTGGCGCAGTATGCAACAACATTTGTCAACCTTCTTTTGACGAATAAGAAGCAGACATACGTGCGATATGTACTATTTTGCCTGAGATTATCTTTCCAAATGAATATTCTACGATGAAATGAAAAAGAAAATTGAAAAATCGAAAATTGAAGACTTTTATCGAAAATCCATTCACTTTCTTGTGTTTGATTTCATTCGCATGATAATCTTCTTTTTTTTTCATCGTTGAACAATTATTTTTATTACTCGAAGATTGAATGCAACAAGAAAAGAGAACGCCAAAGCGACGATCGTACGTGGGTTTTTTTCTCTTTCCATTTTTGCTCATTTCCATCACGAAAATATCCTTTCGCATTTAATACACAAAAGCCGAATGTCTATGCATTGAATTGACGCACTGAGATACAATAAATAGAACGTGTATTAAAAAGCACATCCGGTGAGTGCTCTCCGTATGTATTTAACTTCAATGTTTATCCTTTGTCCATTGTTGTGTGTTCGGTTTATACTGAATTTTTTCGTTGTTGTGTGAACATTGAACAAGTCTCGGTTCGGTTTTCATTGCGTCAATGTACTGAAAGTTAAATCCACATTTCCATGGTCCGTCGTTCGTCGTTCATCGTCGTTGCTGTCCTCGTACGAAACAAGCGAAATTTGATTACAACAGATATATTCCTCTGATGATGACACGTTTTCTTTTCCACGTTTTCGTCTCTAGGAACCATGGGCTTCGCATCATCATCGCCATCACCGTCTTTCTCTCTCTCTCTCTCTCTCTCTCTTCCGTATGGTTTTCTTGTCGACGCATAACGAATGAAAAACGATTTCGTTTTCTTTGGTTTTGTTCTTCATTAAAATGGAAGAAGATGAATACTGCAGCGGCCACTTGAATTTATGGGATTCATTTGAATGAAACCAAATTGATGAAAAATACTCCAACCGATCGTTTTTTTTTTCTCATTCGAAACAACCACAAAAAAACAGACAAAAAACAAATCCTTTGTACAAACTAACAAAAAAAAACCTTCAGATACGAGCCGTTTTGTATGAAAACGATGGCTTGAGTAAGATGCAGATTGTGACACCTCGTATTGCATTTTGATAACACTGAGCTATAATATAGCCGTAATGGTAAAGAGATGTAGTTTTTTTTTCTCTGTTTGTCCGTGAAACAGAAGAGCAACTCATCCAACAAAAGAAATCGATTTCCGCGACAGAAACATTCAACGATTTAACCGGTGTCTAGCATCTGCGCCTCGATTCCGGTGTGCAAGGATCTGTGCGTATTTTTTTTTCTGTGCGTTTACACAGAACGAGCAAAAGAAAAAAAAAACATACAAAGAGAGCTGTGCAGAATAAAAATAACAATTACTTTTAAATTTGTGGGAAAATGAAATTGCAACTGCACAGAACACAGAGGTTTATTACCTTACATACGCATCGGCCAATAGTGCAATAAATATGGTTCAAAACAAAAGCGTTAAAAATGAGCAAATATTTGTTGAAATACAGTGAAAAAAAAACGCGACCATATCGTCGTAAACACTCGTAATATTTTTATGCCAGTTGCTTGAAAAATCGGCACAACAGCCTCTACAAAGTCATGAATCAAAAACAAAGTCATCGGATGTCTGCTCGATTATAGAATGAAATGATTGTTTTCATGCAAAGTTAATCGAATAAAAGACCGTTGTGATCTACGATGGGAAAATGCTCGACTTATTTTCCACATACGCGTATGCTCACAATACGCAAATCAGGTTAGAAATGCATCAAATGCATTGAATGTATTAAATGCAATTCTAATGTGAGAAACGCCCGACAACACAATGTGTTTTCAGTCTGGATGGTATCTTCCATCGCAGATGTGAAAAAAAGAAACGTTTTCAACGGATGGACATCGGACACGTCTGTTGAGTGTTACTATTTTTCTTTTCCGCTGAATATTGCAGTTTGTGTGCATATTATTGAGAGTGAAAAAAAACGCATAAATATGTGCAACATGTTGAAATGAATGCTTGTTGCGCGTAAAACTGCAGCAAGGGAGCGTTTTCAATGTAATGAAAATTACCATTTTCCCCTCGAGAAACTAAGAAAGTTTAACAACTTTCATTTGAATGACAAAACACATTTTTATGGAAAATCTAATGCAACTGCAACTGAATGCAACTGCATGCAATGCGTATGATTAAAACAAGGGTTAAAAAAATCCACACACAAAACGTATCACGATGCGTTTTCTTTTATGCAGATGATATTCGCCTTACATCTCTCTCTTCCTCAACCCTTATCGCGGTTGTTTTCATTTTCATTCTCGAATCCTCAACAATGGCCAACGGCATGTGCAAAAAATAGAAAGATTCAATAAAAGATTTTGCTAGATTTGTGTGCTTCTGCACATCGAGCTAAATTTAATGTAAAATGCATTTCTCTTGAGGAGAGCGTGAACAACAAGCACTGAAATGCCAGAGCCACAGAGAACCACTCCTGCCACTGTCGCCACTGCTGCTGCTGCTGCTGCTGCTCTAAAACGCAGTTGCAAATAGAAATGCAGCCTTCCTTCTCATTGTATTCATAATTATGAATGCTAACATTCTCTCTTTCTCTCTCTCTCTCTCTCTCTCTCTCTCTCTCTCTCTCTCTCTCGCTTGTTGATGGATGAACTGAAATGCGCCGCGTTCGCTTTTGTTTCGATCGCTAGTTGCTGCAGATTGTTTTTATTTTATCCATCACTGAGCGCACATATATTTCTTTTCTGCTAAAGGAATAGGAAGGGTAACTCAAACGAAAAAAAAAAAATAATAAATCGAATTTAAACGCAAAACGCGTATATATGCATACAGCCGTTGCTCTCTGTCCAAGCAAAAGAGTATTATGCACGCGGCTTGACGACTACGAATACTCTTCTTAGTCGCCGATTGCTCTAAAATTCATACCTTATTACTTACTTTACTTTACTTTACTTGTACAACGGTTCGGTTGCATCGCTCTTACATTACATAATTATAATCTATACCGTATGGCATATTTTTTCTTTCTGCAGCTCTACGCCGCTCTGTACTAGTAAACCGTTGTCGTTGATACTTCAACATGCGTCCATGCACTATGGCTAGTCTGCCATCGGTTGGCAGATCTGCAGAAAAAAAAGAAGAAATCCAGCAATAAGAGAAAAAAAGAATGAAATGAATTATAATTGAGAGTCAAACGCTGCATGACGGAACAATGCACAATTGTTGTTTGTTCCATTAATCAGTTCCTCGACCAACTTTCGTTCGCAGTCGTCTGCATTTTGAATTTATTAAGAAAAAAAAACAAGCCTAAGTAAAATGCATTTAGCTAATCTTATGCACGCAACTTGTTTTGGTCATTGACATCGGAAATATATCTATTGTTAGGCAAGAAATTTGTTGAATCTTTTGAAAAATGTCAATTGAAAAACTGCATTCGTTCCTTCGTCTCGAACGTTGCGTTTCTTGTACGCGCGTATTGTGTTTTGTGCCATACTTTTGTGAAGCGAAAATTTTCCACTCGAAATCGGACGGCAACGGTGTGAAATGTGCCGAACATATGCAATGCATACATTTTCAAATGGCCATTGCATTTTTAGAGCCTTCACGTTTGGTTGTTAATTGCTGTTGGTATTTTTCCTGACCGCTACATTTAATTGGCTAACGCGAAATATTTGTGGCTAGCGTCAAAAGAAAATCGTGGAAAACAGTTGCCAATTTTCGGTTCGACAATAACGCGAACGTTTTTTCAACTAGTCCACTTCTATTCACAACTTGAGTGTGTCAATAAGCTCTCGAGATTGAATAGACATTCACTCATTCACTTGCTATGCAACGGAAAAAAATCCATAGTCACAAAAGCAAAATTACCCAACACGAAGAATTGAGGCTCACACAATATTGACAGTGTGCTTTGAACTTGTTTGTTACCCCTGAACATTCTACTCAAGTTTTTTCCCTACTTCGTTTTGCTCATCCAGTGATTTTTTTTTTCTTTGCTTGTTTCTTTGTCGACCCAATAAAATGCAGCTGATCTGGATATCATACATGCATATACTGACGATGAAGAAAACAGGTTTTAATCAATTTCCGTTCAAATCGCATTGCAGTTTCATCAAAGTTTGCATATAAATTGAATGCTTCGCGCATGATCATCATGGATAAAATTTCATACATGTATTTCAAAAAATTGTGTGTATGCATATATGTTCAAATGAAAAAGTTTAATCCTACAATTTGAAGACGAGAAGAAAAAAAAAACAGTCCAACAACCAAACAACATCAACCCTTGTAAATTTGTAAAATCATTTCTATATGTATAAAAATAATGAAATAACAGATGATGATACAGCTCACAAAAATGATGCATTAAAAAAGGACGTTTTTTCTTCGCTTCTTGCATTGTACGACGATTGTACATCCAATCTGTGGGAATTAAAACTGGATATTTTGATTAAAGCGATTTTCCCGTATATGTTTTTCGACTGAATTCCTCTTGCACATTTTGCATGACATGAGGAGAGAGCAAAAAAAAGATGAATTCTACGGCCGAAACCAAATAAAAAGATGAGAGAAGTTCAAAGACAAAAAGAAAACAAAACAAGACGAAAGGTACATTTATTCATCATCATTTTCACTGTTGTCGCCCAGCCAAATACATATATACACACACACGTTGGCCATTCAATAGCAGCAGTAGCAGCACTGAAATTTGCAAAGCCAGGAGCAGAGTTAAATGGCCGAATCGTGCAAAAGATAGAGACGAAGGGATCAACGGACAAAAAAATACATGTGAAAATGGCAATGGACGACACAATAAAAAAAAAACTAAAGAACCGAACGGAATAAAGAGAAAGGAAACAAACCAAACACTTTGTAAGTTGGCTCTGAAACTACGCGCACACATTTCTTGTAAGTTAAGTTTTTCGATTTTCACTGTTGCACTAGAAAGGGTGCGCGTCCTATTGTTTGGTCTAGCGCGCTATCTTGGGCCCGATGTGTATTCCATAAAATACACTTTAGATTTCTGCATTTTCATTCCTTGTTGCTTGGCACACACACACACACACACACACAACGGAATAGCATAAATAAATATGATCATCCATCGAATTTTATAGCAATCATCCGGTCGTGAACCAGCGTTCCGTGCACATAGAAACGTTATTGATAGCTAACGGTCATTTTGGTTTATTTCTTATGATGAAATGGCTGAAATTTCGTCTCTAAAAAACCGTAAATAATGGCGATTTCATTGTAAACAATGGAAAATTTGTTTACATCATATTGACTGATAGATAGGTACTTGAGAGAAACATTTTATTTACACCAAAAATGTTACAATCATAAAGCAAAAAGATTTGGTAGATTCTCGTTGTCCGGAGAGACACCGTCACAGATAGCGATCCAATAATAGACATCCTCGAAAAATGCTTCAAGGCAACACATGCCGAAAAAAATCTCATCAAATTGTTTCTGAATAACCAAACTTATCGTTTGGGCAAAAAGGAAAACTTTATTCCTTGGCCAATGTCCATTATTGTATTATTTCTTTTTCTGCGCTGTGCTCTCATACATATGAACTTTAAATCACGTGAGAAATATGATTAGGAAGTTCCGCTTTCGAGAGTACAAAAGAAAGTGTAAATGAATGGATATTGTACAAATGAAGCGCCAAAATATCGACAGACTAGTCATAAACATGACATATGGTTTCAAGCGATATGATTTTATCTAAAAATCACACGATTTATTCACATACAAGTGAATACAACCAAAGAAATATTAAATACCGACCGATATGCAAACATGTGACCGTCAACATCGCAAATTAGCTTAATTTGGAATTTGCAATGTAAAAAAACTGACGGTCAGATCCCTGTGGCGGCGATTTAAAGGGATGAAAAGAATAGATTTAAAATGACCGTATTTAAATGAAAATGACACTCTAAATACGCGACGCGAGAGTAGAAAAAAATGCCCATGGAATAAAAAAAACAAAGTTTAAAACTTAAACTACGTGAATCATTGAGAAAAAAGTCACTAACACACATGGCGAAACCTGTCTAAAGCTATCAAGCAAATACTATTCGATACAATTGCGTATTGTACATAATCAGCACTGGTTTCGTTCGGCTAAAACGAGCATCCACCTTTTCGTGTTTTTTAACATTATTTTGCAACGAAAACTATGACCGAATAAAAAAAAAATATAATCATTTTATTCACCCCTTTGCAATGCAATGTAAATGGACTATGGGGTACTTACCATCTTATTTCGAGGCTATTTTCCTCTTCTTTCTTCGTTCATTGTTCGTTTCTAAATCTGGTTTCTTGGATTTTGATTTAGGGAAAAAAATTAAATGATTCAAAAAGAAAAACAACAAACTCGTACTGTCCATACCACACACGCATACCGAGACACACATGCACACATTTCAGCGTCCTGAGGATTTAATTACAATCGTTTACAAAATCGCTATCGAAAAACTATCTCTAGAAAGAAAATTGATTGAAATAATGTTCGATTTGTGTCAATTTTGGTTGAAATAATGAAATGGCTATCGGTTTCCCACAAATGTGTGGTTGTCGGAGAAAAAAGCGCCAATTTGTAATGCTGTAAACACAATCAAGGTTCAAATAATACATAAATTTACCAATTGCATGTCTAAAAGTAAATATTTAATTTCGTTTCAGGAAACAAACTCAAATAGTTTTTCCTCACAATCTCCATTTCGGCGCGTAAATTGACAATTTAAACGGTCAAGCAAATCAAAACAAAAATCAGAAAGTGAAAGGAAAAAAAACGATAGAGACGATTGGGAAAGGAGCTGATCAGTGGCGGCATGAAAAAACTCATCCATTTATAGTTGTCCATGGATAAGAAAAATGCGTCTGAGAAATGCATATGGTCAATTGTAAATAAAATGAGAGCCAACACGAAGACAAATTGTACTTATATCTTAATATGTATAACTTGTCTCGTCCACTAAGTGGTCGGACAGAGTGAGAGAGAGAGAGAACGAGACAGCGCGTATTTTTTACAACAACCAAGAGAAGTCTTACGAAAGACGCGTTTAATATCATGAGACAAGCTGAAAGCATGCAGAAATGCTATAGGTGTAAAAATTCGTGTATGAACATTGATGCGATTTGCATGATGAGACGAGAAAAGTGGTAGCAATATTTAGTGAATACAATGGGTTCCGACTCAACAACAAATAAAGTACTACTAAATCATCATTGCTCCGTTGCAAAAACCATACACATATATGAAGTGATGTGTACTCGGTCTTTTTCTCGCTCTCACATGCACATACACATATCGAAGTGCCGCCGTTTAACAGATTTTTATAAGTCTTCTCTCTATCGTTGCGATTGTGCACTCCAATCAAATACGTGAAAAGTTATCATAATGAGACACGTAGGAGATCACGTATTTGTATGCATTCAAAAACGAACAAGCAAAATAAATTGCCAAAAATGAGAAAGAGGATATGAGCTCTCTCTCTCTCTCTCTCTCTTTTTGCGAAAAGAAAACATTCAGTTTGAGGAAAATCAACGTAACTGAAATGGCATCAAGTAAATTCAATGATTAGAGATAGCAGAAAAGCATAGCCACTTTGGTTCGAAACGATCATATCGCACGGTATCCACAACTGACCCATTTCTTATAGAAAATGTTCCGAAAATCCAACGTTCAGCCGAAAATGAGTTGATCCAAATGCAAAATAATTTGCAATCAGAATAAACCAGCCCAACGGAATCTTCGAGAAATATTGATATCAGCTTATAAATGAAACGCCTCCCCATTGTGGTAAGCTCATTTTCTACCGTTTCGATGGAAAAAATCGACTTAGCACTTATTGAACGATAACGGAAACAGGATAGTGAATGATTATTGACAGTTGTTTCAAATCGCAATTCATTTATTCGCAATGATCGTCAAAATCATGTAATGCGAATGCACTCGATAGCGCGAACACATTTATAAAAATAGATTATGTTATCGCTTTGGAATTATGTGCGGATTAAATGTGCCCAAATACGATATGATGGATATCATATCCATCCAAAACCAATTTAAAAATGAGCTTTTTTATATAATTTTTAAGCTGGCCATAATCACTCTCATCAAAAATCACATATTTTAAATATATATATTTTGTCTTCTCATCTGTGCGGTTTATATTCACTTTGGAAAAAAAAATTATACGCCAAACTTCTCTCTCTCTCTCTCTCTCTCTCTCTCTCTCTCTCTCTCTCATTTTTGTTGCATGTTCCTGTTTGCCGCATACGTTCCTATTAGCTGCGATCCACGTATACAGGCGCATCAACGTGAACGTTCATGGAAGAATTGGTTTGATGAAATTGCAAGCGTATGTGTAGATTGAACAATCAGTATATTATAGTGTGTGCGGCGAATGTTGTTGTGACGATGATGACGATGAGAACGATTCAAAAGCGCGCTCTGGGATAAGAAGGAGAGGAAAAGCAACGGTCTTGTTGCGTTTTTTCTTTGTCATGCATATATCGCAATACACTTCGGCGAGAGTGTGTCTGTGTGAATGTATTTTGCACAGAGCAGTCAACGGGTATGGGTCGCGGTCTATTTCGTTGAAGCAATATTGTTGCACTAGTAAAGTTGAGCGCGGACGATTAAGAGCTACTGCAAATCGCCGCCGTCTTCAAAAAACAGCAGTATAATTTTAGATTTTTTTTTTAGCACACAGTTATAAAACGTACAGAAGTAAGCAACGCGAAAATTTTCTTTGGCAGAACATTCAAAAATACAATTGGTATTTTACTCAACTCTGAACCAATTTCAAGAAACAAAATTTGAAGAAAAAAACACACTCAACAAATCGTCGATCATAATTCAATGTTACAAACACATATTTTCAAGATAAAAAGATCGAGAGAATAATCGAAGAAGTTTCAAAGCGTGAACACACCAAACATATTTTAGTGACATTTTCAAATGAATTCAATTCAGTGCAAAACAGTCTTGTGAATGATATGCAAACACGAAACGTAATATTTTTAATACTTAAAAGTTCAAATGGAATAGTTCAATTTCTTTTTTTTTGTTCCTAAGTTTAAATTAACATTTTATGCGATACTTGATTTGGATTTCGGTTTGAATCAGTCAGTTTTTTTTAGTTTACAATTTTGTATACAATAAGTAGACTGAGGCTAATATAATGCTTTAAGTCCATACGTAACCAAGTTGTTCTTATACATATCTTTTTTCAATTCGCGAACACTTTTTACGTGAAACCAACCGAAAAAAAGGCGGAAAAAATATATAATAGTTTCTGCATCGGAGGTGCGATTGAATTGAAAAAAGGAATCGTTTGTCGTAGGAATTATACAAACATTTGTGATTCGGTGGACAAAAACGAAAGAAAAATAAGAAAAAAAGAGAATACTTTACCAATATCAGTGCTGTCTTAATCCATTTTTATCAATTATACCGTTCGCAGATGTAATTGCATTTGTGTATTGGTTCGTTTGTTCGGTGTGCGAATGTTAATACAAAACTTTCTTCGTTCAAAAATATGTGCATATAACTGAAAAGTGTAAGAGACATAGTGATCTGGCAGGCAAGAGGAAACGGGGAAAACAAATTCGCTGAATACCAAACTGAAACAGTTACCGCATACCGGGTGATGATTGAATGTGGAGTAAAATAATGCATGAACGACGCGCAACATTAGTTGGAATTTGAAATGAGACCAAAAAAGCGGGCAGTGGATAATAAAGGAAAAATAAAAAACAAGAGAAAGGAAATTGGAAGTCATTAAGGGTCGAGAACTGCATACAAGTCCAATCCGTCCTATCACAAACTACAACCGCCAAATGCCATCCGAAATCAAAGAAAACATAATATTACGTTCGGGATCAACGAATGGGGAAATAGTATTATCGCTAAATCACAGATAAAACGAGGAACAATACCAACAACAACAACAACAGCAAAAAGCAAAAAGCAAACAAACAAAAAATTGTGCCGAAGCTTTTTTGGTTGTATTTTGAAATTAATGACTGCAGCAAAGTGAAACTAGTACAAACGGAAACCATTCATATAGAGACTGTTGTGAAAAGTTATTCTTTTTTTCGGTATTCAAAACTTTAATTCAGTTGTACAGAACTCATATAGTCAAAAAAGGCACACAACTATTCGCGCCACCACTGAAACTACATATTAGTCAGCGCTTATGTATCGCTATAAAAACGATAAAACAGTGGAGTGAAACACAACCCACACACACACACACACACACTCACACAACAGACAAGTGAACACCGCACCGTGAAATAAGACAAATCGTCAGATCGTCGAAATTAATACATTTAGGCTCAAGCTGAAAGCAATATAACGTTAGGTAGGTCATTGAATACATTGAATACATTGCATTTACATTATATATTTTTGTCTATTTATTTGAAAATCGCATCGATTCTAAAATGCACATGATGTGGATCCACATTTGAGGCTTCCACGGTTGCATGGAAGCGTGAAATAATACACGCAAAAATAATAGAATAAAAAGAAAAGAAGCGAACGGAATGCAATACAGTAGAAGAATAAGGAGGAATAAATGGAAGCCCCGAGAAAGAGAGATAGAATAAAATGTAGTATTAATGAAATGAATGAATAAGTAAATGGTTTTTGGTGAGCGCATCATGTCTGGACTTCTGCCATGGCAACCAGACGGTTGCTTAATTTTGAAGTAATTTCTGTTCCGGCACTCGATTTGAATCAACAGAAACAGTCTTGCATTTTGCCTCTCTTTCTGCCAAAAACTGCACAAAATGTACGCTATATTCGATCGGCTGCCGAGCCAGCCGCTTGAATTCATGAGGGGAGCCGAGTGTGAATGTGTTGTTTGTTGATATATATGTATAAGTATATATATACGCTTTTTTGTGCATGATGATTTTTGATGTAGTGTGTGCTGTTTGCACGGATACGCTCTCTCTCTCTCTCTCTCTCTCTCTCTCTCTCTCTCTCAAACACACACACACTTTTTTGCACATTCTGTGTGTGATAGTAAATCACAGATAAAGCCAAAAAATGAAAACAGTGCATATACACTTTTTTTCCCAACATTGCACGAGTAATGCGTCATTTTTTCGCTATTTCAATGCTTAAATAAAAGCTTTATTAATCACATCTTCCATTACAAATATGGAATCTTCATTTGAGCGCTGAATTTTGTTGGATAAAATGTCAGCATAACTCTTTGTGTTGTCAAGTAAAATGTTCAATTTCATGAGTACGAAATTCAATTTCTATCCGGTAAAATAAAACACGACACACAATGCATGCACACAGACATATGCGCGGCGTTCGTTCTCTCGTGTTAATACAAGCAACAAAGAAAGGTGTATGTACTACTACTTTGCGCATTATGTTTGTATGAAGCCGTCGCATGAGTTCGTATAAATGAGCGTACACATCATATTCAATAGCAATGTATGTGGTACAGTCAGTCGGCTCGATGATTTTATACCGAAACGCAATGTGCAGCACTTTGAAAAATTTGACCATTCGAAACAGTTCATTCGGCTAAAACTTTGGAACATATTCCCGTCGGATAAAACAGAGAAATTTTTGATGGAACGATGTTTATTATGACAACGGACGCGATCAAACAGACCATTCAAAAACAACAGTAGCAACAACAAAAAGCGAACGTAGCGTCGACAGTTGTGAAATGTCTCAAGCGAAGCAATATTATCCATGCCATGCTTGTGTTGGTCCCGTATCTCTCTTCTTCTTCTTCTTCTTCTTTTCAAAGAGATACATGTAAACAGGACATGTATGCGACACGATACGGTACAGCACAATACAGCCACTGAACTTTTTACATGAAGATATTTCGTATTTTCTATGGTCAATCGAATGTACAAATTGTGCGTCTGGTTCAGCACTCCAGATAAAAGTTCGATTTAAACAAGGAGGCACTTATGGAATGTCGATTTCAATCAAAATTATTATATTCGTGAAAGACTGCGATATTATATCGCTTCGACTGTTTCAGCGGCGGCGGGTTGTTGCGACTGCTGCCATTGTTGCCGTCGCTGCTGCTGTTTCTGTTACAAAGCCATGCTTGTATTCGAATGAATTTTCAGATAAAACACGATGTAGAACTTAATAAGGATAGGGTAAAAATCGCAATTAAGGCCGACCAACGCGAACGACTCCAAATTTAAACGATGAGTTACATTTTTCGCCTTTCTATTTTTGGCATTATATCACAGTCGCTTTTCTCTGTCATTCTCTCTGTGCTCCGCGACTGCGAATCTTTTTCGCACATCTTCAACACTGGTTTCTCCTGTCTGGGGAACATTTAATGATTTGAAGACATGATCTTTAACACACACAAGCCCATACACACAAATACTCAAAGCAATTCAGACGAAAGAAGGAAAAAATAATAATATTAATACAACAACAGCAAACGAAGCACATAATGAAATTTAATTTTAGATTTGTTGACCTATTGCGACTGACATCATATCATCGACATAAACTGCACACGAAATATGTCTTGATACCTCCGTAATTTGCATTGATTGGCACATACCTGTTGTATATCATCGCTTTATATTTGTGTGCGATTGCTGTTACTGTTGCTCTGTTTTAGGTTTGCAAATTCGACAGCGGCCACTTCGCGTGTGTGTACTATCTATATCGTTTGATAGCGTACGCTGTTGCCAAGATGCTGATTGCATTTCGAATACTACGTGTTTCGCAGTTAGAAACCGTTTATTTTTATCGGTGGTTGGCCCAACTTTTCATTTTCTCTCTCGCGTGAGATACATCTTATCTTCAGCGAAAAGCGTTTTGAGTCATCGTAAAAAAGAGTGACATCAACAAATTCTGAGTTGAACCCGCCATTTCATTTGAAGGTATTCAGCGGGATATTTTGCTTTGAATCCGAAAAGTCTTCAGTTTTTTCTCTCTTTTTTTCATTCAATACATCTCTGTTTCAGTCTATCAATCCCTAGGAATCATTTGTGAAAGCTATTGATATCTGGAATGGCTTTTGTTTGTTTTGTGTTGTTAACGTTGTATTTGTTTTGATTGTTGTATAAATAAGCCCGATTTCGGTTTTTTTTTATTCAACGCTCTCTGTCTAATCGACAATAGGTCAGTCAAAACAAAATACGAAATGAAAAAAAATTGCTGCCAGTAAACATTTGGCTTGCATAAATAACAAATAAAAATAATGTGCAAGCGCAGAATACTGACAATAAAATTAGTGACGATTGCACAAGCAATCTATTTGAAAAGGAAAAATATCGCTCTCTGCCAAAATGTTCTCCCTAGAAGTGATGTACACAATTATTTGATCTTCGAGTGACCACGTTGCATATTCACAATGATATGCAAAGCAGATGCTTTAAATTTCTTCGCTAGCACATTAAAATGGTTCCAGTTGCAATTTTCCAGTGGAACTGATGGATTTTAAACACAAAACACTTTATCATGGGTTCTTAGCATTGGACTTTGATTTGCAAAACGCTTTCTCTCTCTCACACACACACACACACACACACACTCTCCTCTACTACTACGCTACTACGATAACATTTGCAATGACATTCTGAATAGAAATGCAGAAAAAGCAACAACAACAACAACAACAGCCGACGAAGCCGCAAGCCACAGGAAAAGAACGCGATAATAAGTCGCTCTAGTCGTATAACCCAACTCTCTTGCTACTCGCTCATAATGATGTGAACAAAATAGGTAAATGGCGTTGAACGTTAAAACTGAAATTCGCATCATTTCTTTGCATGACAACTTTTTTTTGCGCTTTCTGTCGTTTTTATTTGCACATTGTTGTTGTCGCTGTGTATACTGTTCTTTAGCTGTCGCTTATTTGAACACGTATTTCTTTCTGGCGAATAAACACACATCTGCATACACATTACACATGTATGGTCTTAGCTACGCTTTTCGAGTATGGGCATATGGGAAACGAGTTCTGACAAATCGGGAACGAATTTGAAGTTATATGCACGCATAGTCAATGTGCATCGAGTGTATTCAAAGCGCGCTATTTATTGTATGGGATCTCTTCTCTTCTCTCTCTCTCTCTCTTCCTCTCTCTCTCGCTCTGTCGCTCTGTCGCTCTGTCGCTCTCTCGGTTCTGCTCTCAACACAAGAAAGAGAATCAGCATGTGCAGAATGAATTTTTTTTGGAGAAGAAAAACACACAGGCGAGAAGCGAAAAGACCAAACAACGGAGAGCAACGCCAAGCAATACAACAAGAAACAGAGAGCGAAATAACAAGAAGAGAAAAAGAAGAAGAAGAAGGGAAAAAATGAACACGCCGGTTCGACAACCATCCACTATACATTTTTTTTTGTAATACGTTTTTTCCTTTTGAAACACGGGCGTTTCGTCGTTTCGCATGTGATGCGTTTAATCTTCGATCGTATAGCTTATGGAGCGTTGCCTGGTTGAAACAACGCATTCCCCTGTTTATTTCTTTATGTTGTTGGCTAAATGACATGATTGTTTCCATCAAGCTAAAATAGTGCGGGTAAATGTGTATGTGTTTGTATGTGCTCTTCAAAAGTGTATATACAAACATATATATATATATATATATAAAGTTGTATGTATATATATATTTATTCATCGTTTGGGTTTCGCACTGCAGTTCTGTCTGCGTACAATTGCAATATATGGAGAACATGCTATCTTCTCGCCGTTTTTATTTATTGTTCAAAGAATGTGGCACGATAGTACATCATCATATTGCTGCGTGTCTTGAGCAGCAATTACATAAAAGCAAATGCAAAAAGACGGGCATGGAATGAACAAAATCTCACATCAATTCCGTCCAAGATGTCTGGCAGAATGTACATTTGAGAGGCTAGTTCGTACGAAAGTGTATTAAAAGCGACTGAGCAAACGAATGGGAAAGAGACAGTTGATTCACTGTACAAACGCATCCACAAATACTGCACTACAATCTATCTCTGTTTGGTTCTCTCAGCGCGCTGTACACATATAAAATGTAATAAATGTAACATTCGTCGATGCACTCTTCTGCTTCTTCTTTCTCTACATGTGCAGAACTGACAGAGTCTCATTTTTGCATACTTGTTGTGTGTCAAATTGCATGGGAATCAAAGCCGAATAAAATTGTATGTGCTCTATAGATGCGCTCAAAATGTAATTGTATGCTGACTCGAGTAGATTATAATGACTCAACATGGACATAGAATTTTTTTTCTTTCAGTGCAATTTTAATCGCGCCAACTGAACATCAAAATTCGAATATCACATAATTTGGACAAATCGTTACGGCCGGGAAATTAAAAATGTTCACTCACGCCGGAGTTTCGATGCTTTCCATC